AATTGCAAAGGCATTGTGTTCCACCATGACAATGCGAGGCTTCACGCATCTTTCCCAATACATATGAAATTACTGGAGCTTGGATGGGAGTGACGTCGCATACCCCTTAGAGAACCTGACCTTGTATTATCGAATTATCATTTATTTCAAAGTTTATAAAACTTCTTAAATTGTAACAATTTCAGTAATAAAATCAAATTGCAATTGGTTGAGTTTTTTGCTAATAAAGACCATAAGTTCTATGAGTGCAGAATCATGAAGTTACCAGAAAGACGACAAAAGGTCATTGAATGGAATGGAAGCTATTTGACTGATTAATTTTTTGTATAGAAAGAAAACTGAGTTTTAACTCATGCTCAAAACCTGAAATTACATTTTTGCCAACCCAATATTATGCCTCCACCCTTATGTTTAACAACAGGCAAGCAGATTTTCAGATTTAATTTTTTATTGAACATTTTGCTAATTTTCACACAGCAATTCATTCATCGGACCTAAATGTTATAAATTATGACTCTTTTCCATATAAAACATTGCTTTAATATGCTAAATCTTTGTTTATCATACATTTTGCGAATGCCAAAAATACTTTCCTTTCTTTCTCATTGACAATGAATTTCCTTATTAGCCACTGTATCCATGCACTCTAATGATTCTTCTAAGAGTTTCAGAGTTAACTTCTATTGTAAATTGTTCTTCTAACACAGCTGTAAGTTTAACTACATTAATATTTGAGTTTTGTTTGACTTTTTGCAGACTTTTCTGCATTTTCAACAGTTTCACACAATTTCCAAAGTTTCATAGCACCAAAGATGAAGAGTTAAATTTCTAATAGATCTTGTTAGTTTGAAGTGTCCCGTAATGTTCACTTCAGATGTGGAACTTTTAATATATTTTGCTAAACAAGTGATTATTTCCAAATGTGGACAATAATTGTGATGTAATTTCATTTAAAACAAAAAATTATGACAATAAACTTCATCTGTTATAATATCTCAACAAAAGTTTCAAATGTCCAAATTATTATGCGAATTACTGATTAATACATTTTGAATAAACTGTTTTGTTATAAAGAATATTTTGATGATATTTATTGCGTAACAAGCATGACTTATAACAGAGGAAAAATATCTTCATTCTTAATTCATTAAAAATATTCTATGTTTGAATACTTAGTACAATATCTATACAAATAAATTCCAAAAATACAAACAACCAAGAAAAAATGTGAGGCAGTGTATTTATTTTTTAAGTGGCACCAATAAAACATTATTTTTAAATGTGAAAATAAATAAAATAATTTAAAATACATAAATGAAAATGGTTACATTAATTAATTTAATAAGCTATTAAATTTGAATTCTTTCCAATTTTACAAAGTAAGAGTAGCCCTTTAAAGGGCTGTTTTTATGGGTCATTCAGCAATATACACGTGGTATCCGTAAGTGCAACACAACCACCAGAGGGTCTCACCGATGCGCCAGGAGTGAGAGCAAGGTGAAAGAGGAGTATGACATAGAGAGTCTTCGATACCATGCGAAGGTTGTAAGATGTCTCCGGAAAAATAATGAACTGTATGCTTCCACGAAGAGGTGGTAAATTGAGCTGCATAATACGACAGCAAGTGCGAGTAGGCACTAAGCTGCTATGTTATAGGATTGGTAAACCTATCCAGAATCCTGTTTATATTCAACAGCACTTGTATTTAATTCAATCTGTACCTTCTTCTGATTTTCTTTATTAAATGTTCTATGGTGTGGAAAACGTTGAAATTGTTATTTAGCATCTTCAACTCCCCTACTACATACATTACAAATGTCACATAGCATAGCCAAAAAACAGTCATCACTTTTCTTACTGGATCTCCACTATACTTCAACACGATAACATGAATGAATTTACAGTGTAATACTCTGCAATGTTGTGTAGAAGCTTTAGCTTCAAAATCCACCAGCCTGATCAAGTTGTTTAGCATTAGTGTTATCTTCAGGTCAGATAAAGTTTTTTGCTGGCTTAAGATTCGATGATCATATTCTAATCCACCCAGCCCTTTAAAAGAAGGCGGATGCATCACTCTAATAATAAATAAATAAACTTAAAAGTGGCAGATTGCATACTATATCCATGGTTGTCATGCTACCTGGAAAACATGGAAAAGTCAGGGAATTAAAATATTTTAACTAAAATCTGGAAGTCATGGAATTTCATATGGTAATCTCCAAAAAAGTGATTTTTTCACCAACACTGGAAGCAGATCACTTTCTTGGCTAATTATGTATCACAAGAGCATCTGACCGGGGATGCAGATGAAGAGGTTACTGTATACACTGTTTTGAAAGTGAAGGGATTAAATCCACAGTTGCATGTAAATCACAAAGTACAATTTACAGAATTGTTATTCAGTGTTCTGTACAATGTACAGAATTGTGTTTGGAAAGACACTTTTGTTAACTATGCTGCAATTCAACTTGATCTTTTTTATAAGGATCTGATTAATAATTCAGAATTTGAAGAATTTTAAATTGTTGTATAACTAGTTCTAATTTTATCATATGGCAATAAAACAGTAGAAAGTGGTTTCTCAGTTAATAATGTTATGTTTATGGGGAAACATTCGGAGGTGTGGATGAATATTAATGTAACTCCTAACATGTTACGATATGCCAGATCTGCTCGTGGTGCATATCATCACACACTTGAAGGTAAAAAAAATTATGTGATAGTGAAGATTAACTGTTGGATAAGAGGAAAGCATGAGCACAGATTAAAACTTTGGAATTAAGAAAAATTGCTAAAATTTTGAATTAATGTTATAAGGAATTTATCTTGCCTTCTTAGCATGCCTTTATGGTATAATGGTCAGCACACTTGGTGCGTAATCGAGAGATCTGAGGTTTGAGTCCCAGCGAGGGCATTGCTCATTTTTCACGAGTCCTGCTTCAAAATAACCTATTTACATTACGACCAAAGGGGCATTTTTTTAACATTTTGTGTATCACCTTTATTTATTAAATATCATGTTCTTCACACTTACATAAAATTCAATTTAACAGCAATATCGTAAAATAATTTTTAAGTGAGCATATCTTTAGAATTTCCGATACACAGTCTCGCATGCTGAAGATAACGTTTTCTTTTCTGTACAGTGTTGCCTTTGCTCGCTTTGAAACAGTGAGTTCGTCATCAAAAATTTGTCAAAGTGTTACAAAATATAAAATAGATAATAAAACAAATTCCACATTAGGGCTTCCAGATTCCCATATTCATTGAAGGATTACGTTATTTAAAATTTGACGGTTCTGTACTGTTGTTGTCAAAATTTGATGGCTCTAGGTACTTTATACTGTTGTTGTTGTACAGTACTGTTTTATCGCAATTCAGGAAATATACACATATTTATGCAGATTCTTCATTATTTAATTTCTTTAAATGTAACACAGGGCGATAATATTTGGTGGCAACACTTTGAAAAGTGAAACAGACATTTAAAGTTTTCAATGCAAAATGCCAAAATAAAATTAATAGCCCTTCTGGGCTAACACCCTTTAGGATAAAAAGAGAAGATATGTTTCTTCAATTGCCTCACATACTGAAGAATTAAAATAAAAGGCTAGCTTTGTATTAATTTTTATTAGCATTTTTTCTATTACTGTTTTGTTTAAATATTCTATATGTCTTTTTTTGGTCTTCAATTCTAATCAAATGTCTGTTTACTTCTTAAAAAAAAAAAAAAAAAAAAAAAAAAATTAGACTTTTTAGATATTAGCAATTGTTGTAATATTATAATATTACAGAGGCAATTGTTTGGCAATTTTATATTATGTCATAGAATAGATATAACTGCTTCTTCATTGCCATTCTGTAAACAATAACTTCCATTCCATATTTTATTTGTACTACTTTCTAAAGCCCTAAACTATCACTCATGACATAGTTTATCATTATTAATGCTGGGAAAAATACAACGTTTACAAGTTTATACACAGCATTAAAAAAATCAATGAATTTCACTTCGGATTTTGTTTGTTACTTAGATGGAATGAATTGTACGTATTTAATTTCTTCAGCAAATGCATGTTTCTATGCATGTGAAATTAATTTACAGTTATACTTTTAACTAAGTATATTTGTGCTGACATTTTATTATAAGTGTATTTCAATGTCAGTGACTCCAGATGCACAAACAATCACTTCTGTTATTATATATTCTTTTCATGTAATTAAAAAGATAATTTATTTGGACTTGACCAATTTTGTGATACAACAGACTGCTAAACAGAATGTTGGTTTGGTATGTAAATAGCAGGTTTTCTTTGTTTGGAAAAAACTTAATTTAAAAGTTACTGAGGAGAACAACTCCTCTTACAGTTATAATCACAATGCTTTGGGGATTCAAAAGTAAGTTTATTTTTTTAATGCATGTCACATGTAATTGGCAAATTTTTGTGTTTTTAAGTGGTACTAAAATTAGTTTACCCTCAGCACGGCCAATGTGCACTATGCAATTAGATTGGAATTTTCTTAAAACACACCTGGAAAAATCAGGGAATTTTATTCTCCCCTTTCAGTGGCAACCCTGTATATCATTACCAGATATTAATTAATTTCCAATAATTAATGTATGATTTTATTAACATAACAATATTAATAAACCAATGTATCATTTTCCTGTTATAGTATTTTAACAGATTTAAAAACCCTCAAAAGGATAAACCCATTGTACAAATCAATAATCTTTATAATTAACTGCTGGCACCTTTAAGACAAACACCTCGACAAAAGACCAAAATTTTTGAAATATGTGTGCTTGTCTTCAACAAAATTCATTTACACACTTTTTATTTCAAAAGAAAATTATTTACATACATTCTTAATCTTTCCCTTGTACAAAAATAAACAATTAATGATTTACACATATTAAAATAAAGCAAAATAATATAAAAACCAAATTTACCTGAGGAATTTAATATAAAGCAAACTAATGTAAAAACCAAATTTACCTCAGGAAAATCTGACATATTTATAGCAATCAGATTTGGATTTTTCTTTGATATTCGAGCAAGTTCATTCAAAGGAAATTCCTCATTTTCAATCTTAACTAAAAGATTTTCAATGCCACCTAATGATAGAAACAAATAAAGAAAGAAAAATAAAATTTATTTTATTACAAAAAATTATTATCATTTTAAATACATACTTGCCAACCTATACACTCAAAAATCAGGAGATTTTTTTTAAGAAATCGGGAGATTTTTCACATGTTAAAAAGACTTTTTAAATGAGGAAAATATAGTTTTTAATGAAATTAACTTTAAATAGTACTAATTCTTAAATGCAAGCAACGCAAAAATACCTTACACATAAAAACATTTTTATTACTTGCAATCGTTTAAGAAACAAAACAAACAAAACAAAAAACCTTTAATCAGTTTTGTACAATGGTTATAAAGTGGCAGATTTTGCTTTCTTTAAGAAAGAAACTTCCTAATTTTGTTCATAGCAATTGCCACGTAGGCCTGCTTTCACTAATAAAAGTTTTCTAATGTGTCATCACTAATATTAGATCTAAATTTAGTCCCCTCGTTTCGCAACAACACTGAAAATCCTCTCACACTCTGCATTACTATGGGAACTGTCAAGATGGCCAACATAATTCTAGACAGTTCTCTATAATTTTAAAATTCCATCAGCATCTTTCAGTTTTCCAATTAAACTCCACTGGGTGTCAATCCGCTGTTTTATAACTTCATCCAAGTTTTCTAATTGTAACTGCTATTTAGCAGCTGTTGGACCTGTTTCAATTTTTCCTCCTTTTTAGAACTCCTTTCAAGATTATAATAAATCAACAATGGTTCATCCACATTATGGTAAGAACTACTCCTTTCAGCTGCTAATTTTAGAGGTGACAGGTGCACCTCATATCTGCAAATCTAATTTTCCTTTCTGAAGATGCCTCACACCAGTCTTCAAGCCACCAATAGGTGCAGTTATGGCATAGTGTAAGCAATATCCAGAGGGACTGCATTTTCTTTTAAAGTTTAAATTCTGCTATATCAAAGCCTGTCAAATGTCCTTCCAAATTGGGGACAGAAAGTAAACTGACTCAATTTCTGAAGACTTTGGATTAAAAAAGAAACAACATTGGATACAGTGTTTTGAATCAGTATATTGCTTCCATCCGTAGAGAGGCAGAATGGAGCTGTTTTAAATGCGATCAATAACTGAAGATTATTCAAAGCCATTTCTTAACAATTGCAATCTTTTGGGTTCTTGCACTTAGTATTTCTTACAATTTCACTATCGGGAAAACATTTTCTAAATAAAGCTGCGCGTGATCCGATGCATTCTCGCAGGTTGGCTCCAGTAAAAAGGCAGAGAACAGAATTCTGCATTAATAACTTTTTGGTTTTTTTGCCGAAGAAAAAATTTTCTTTCTTTTCTTTTTTTTTTTTCCAGAACCTCCATGTTCTCTTGTGTTTTGTGTACGACATTTTTGAGAACATCCGTCCTTCCACATGCAATCAAATATCGCAACGCAGGCGGTACACATCGCAAATTTATTACCTTTCGTTGAGAAATAATGGAAGGAAGCACTGTGTGTACGATTTTTGAAACGTACGAGTATTTCCCTTTTTTCGCAGACATAACAAAGATGATAATTTATAAAACTATTCCCGAAGGCACGTGTTACCAAACTCAGGACAAAATGACCGAAATAACTGAAGACATCCAAATAACAGCTTGTTTTTCCCCATGACTAATTATGCCAGATGACGAGTGGAGCCGATCCATGAGACTGGAGAAGGACGTTTCTGGATAGGTATGCTCTCACTCACAAAGCAGAAGTTATCTAATCGCAGGTTTGTTAGATTAATCTAGAGAAAATTCCTTTGCTGGGACTCCAAAATCACTTTTTTGTTCATATAACAAGTATTAAGCCAAGTTTCCATAAAAATTGTGAGATTTTTAAGAATAAGAAAAATCGGGAGAATAAATTGTAAATCGGTGGCGGGAGAGGGCGAAATCGGAGTCTCCCGCCTAAATCGGGAGAGTTGGCAAGTCTGTAGATATATTCCCTTACATAAGTAATCCCAAATAATAAATATTGCTTTTTAGGCACAGTCATAATATAGATGTATATAATAATAAATAACATTAACCATTGTTCAGAAAAAGAATTTAAAGCAATAACATAGATGTATATAATAATAAATAACATTTAAGCAATGTTTAGAAAAAAGAATTTAAAGCAATAAGCCCATATATACATTGAATGTAATTGTGTAAACTACCTATTTTAAACCATTTCTGTAAATATAATAAGCACAGAAATAGTAACAATAATAAAAGAAGTAAGATTTCAAAAAGCCACAACATTTTTTAAAAGCCAAGCTACACAGCATTCAACTAATTGCTCAATAAACCCTAAGTTCTTAATTCAAGCTCAAGAAACCATAAGTTCAGAATTTTAGAATTTTTTTTTCAATGAACATTTAAGCAAATGATAGATATTTAAAGCAACATGCATAGGACTACTATTCAGAACAACACTTGTAACATCTACAATGTGAATATAATAACAATCTCTTTCTGAAGGTGGTGATTACTCGTTCACCCCACTCTTGTAAATGTTATGTTGTTCCGAAAACTTAGTCTTGGAAATGAATACTTTTCACAGAGATAAATATAGTATGGAAGTATAGCACAAGCATATATGAGAAATTCCAAAGTTCACAATCCTGTCTAGCGCAAGACCTAATCTAGCCAGAATGTTTAATATCAACCAGTTTCAGTTTTTCCATTAAACATTTTCGACAAACAAAAATTGATAGCAAACAGTGGGATTTAGTGCTAATGGATCGGATAAGCATTATGTTACAATACAATCACAAAATCTTCACCTCGTATCACACTTTAGATGTTACAAGTGAAAACCTGACCAATTCTCAATAAGCCAGTTTAATTTCTGTCAAGAATGATATAAGTTAACTGGTATTTATTTTCCCCCTTATATTTTGAAATAAATGATTTAAATTTGGTATCTTCTTTCAATAGAGTTGTATGCAGTGGAATATGGAATATTTAAAAAATTATGGGTCCTGATACAAGGAAAATGTATATATGGGCTTGATATGCAACTTTACTTGGAAAGGGATAAACAATGAAAATACAACATGAAGATCACAAGAACTGATTTAGTTTTTTATATGTTATACCTACATCTTACACCTGTTGATTATCTAATTAAATATAAAGCAATCCATTACTTTAAACTTCTAAAGAAATGACTGATACATGTTCAGTGGGATATCTGTGAACTTTCATGATCCACTATATTTCCTATTCGGATGAGATGTTTTACTTTCATATGTTTAAGGAATACCTAAATACATAGGCTTTTATGTCTGAAATGCACTTTTCTCTCCCCAAATCTTACAACATTTTAAATGTAAGCTTTTGATATTCAAGTTGATAATAAATAAGATGATTGTTTTCATAATTTTAGACAAAAAATTTCTTCTTCCATTCATTTGGCTTTTCTACTGTAAACTGCATCTTTTATATGCTCAACTATCTGGAATTTTCACGTATCTGGCCTTTCTTGAGCTTTCTGTAAAATGAAGCTTTTACTGTATTATTCAAAATATTTTTTTTAATAGAAACTTTATATCATACATGATGATGCTGCTATTCAGAAATAAAATACCCAAAAATGTTGCTTATAACAAAGTACATTTTTTTATATTAAGTATAACAAAGTTTTTAATAACAAATAACAAATTATCCAACAGTTTTCAAATGAAGTTAATTGAATATATTTAAAATATCACACTAGCAGAAGAGCGCAATGAAAGATGTTCGCTAAAATCTTCTTTTAATTTTTCAGTCACTTGTTGTAACCGAGTTCGATATTCAGCAACATCTATAACATCAGCCAGTTCTTCATCAGTCAAATGAGTAGTTTTAGGCTTTCCACCTGTAATACATTTTTTTAAATGCATAAGATTAAAAAAAAATGAGTAAAATAATATATTTAGGTAATAAATATTAAACTATATATAGGTTATTACTAAAAATCATTTTAATAATTTATAAGAAAAGTGCAATAAAAAATATCAAAACAAAACATAAAGAAATACATGGATACAACAATGAAGTTTTTTCTCCACCAGAACTCTGCATGTTGACGTATGCAGTCATTATGTGTCGTGCTGTAGAGACTACTAGGTTTTTGGAAAAGGAAACATGAAATTCAAATGTGCTTTTGCCAGGATTTAAATGATGATGTTTGTTAGTAGCTAGAAGGATACTAACAACTGTAAAATAGCAAGAATTGGTATCGTAAATTTTCTTTCTTAGAGATTTATTACATGCAGTTAACAAAATATGTATAGCTAAAACTCTACAAGAAAGTTTGTTAGAGGAATTTCCATTATAAAGGCAGAGTTTATTTCATATTCACTGCAGCATATTACTACAGTTTGCTATCAATGCAGAATAAAAATTGCTATCAGTGCAGATTTACTATGGTTTAGTTTGAAAATTTTAAAATAAATTTTAATTGATCAAAATAAAAATAAATTCTAAAAGATTACTATACACAATTAATTTTTTTATTTTCTACATTATAAATTTATACACATTACAAACCTAATTATTATATATAAATGAGGAGTTATTTTACTTTATACAGTTAAGTCTCTTTTAGTATAATTTATTTTTAAACTTTTTAAAGTTATGGAATACAGTACATATTTACATTTCTTTCTGAGGTTTCTCCTATTATAAGTATGCACTTACTCTCATGCCATTCATTCTTGAGCTTTGACGGGGAATATGGAAGCATGCCATACTGTAGTCTACTGGACACTTCAAAATCATAGCTACTCTCCCCTCATTGTTTACACACAGGGAATAAATGTATTTTAGAAAATTAGAGAACTAGGCCATCTTCTGAAGCAGTCATTATCATGGTTAAATGGTATGCCAAAAGAGCAAAAAGTAGCTTTGAAGCACCTATTCTAAAGAAACAGACTATACATTATGAAAATATTTCACTGGTTTTCTAACTCATTTTGATGAAGTCACTAAAAATATAGCGGAGTGGTCCAATGCGAACTAGGCATTCGAACTGACATTGGTTCAAACAACATAGTGGAACTTGGACAGCAATTTGGAAAGAAGTGCAAAGTGTTTTCGCTTATAAGGTAAAAGTCAATTTGATTTAACCTATACACCAACCAAATTTTCTTAGATTTCTGAATGAGTCCATTCTTTGCTTTTCACTATTCAAATACTATGTAATTACAATAATATAAAATGACTAAAAAAATTTATTTCATACTTATAGAAACAAAAATATCAATAAAACTGCTTTTCATCTTTTTGGACAGACTGCAGGATAGACAGCAATATTTCACAGTATTTATAAGTTCAAATTTATAACCAAATAACTTGGCTCTATTATTATAAATTTCTAACATAATTTCTGTTAAAGACATATTCATCAACTCATAGTAATGGCACTAAAGGCAGACAATGAAATAATAAAGGAGTTTCATCATGGAGATGATGTTGCCAACTACCATGATGCCTCTATCTCAAATCCTTGCTACTGTTTAAAACTGAATTCACTTACACATTCTGGTGGAGTAGATACAACAGTAAAAGTTTAGGAAATATTTAACTTATTAAAGAATGTATTAACCTTACACAGCGCTCTCAAGATGTTTTTTTAATCAAAAGAAAAAAATTCCTCGTGCACCACAAAGCATCATATGAAGTTTAAAAATGTAAGTAAGGAAACCATATCAACTTTAAATACTACAAATAAATCAAACAAATATGATTTTAAAGTAAAACAAAAAATAAAATTAAATACAAAGAAAATGATTTACAGCATTTAAAATAAGAGTCAACATAGTCATTAAAAGCAAGGTTGGCCGAATTTCAATGAATTTCTTGCATAGTTAAGCAATGGGCAGTCAAAAAGTAAGTGGAAGACACTTTGCTGAATGCCATGACCCATAAGCACAAATTGGAAGATGTCAGCTTAAACAGTTCAAGGTAAACATTAAACTTTTCATGTTCAGACAAAAATTACATAACATTAAAATTGAGCAATAAGTCCTTATTTCTCAGTCTTTCAAAGATAGTGGGAAAGAACCTTTCTGTTATATCTCCCTTATCAGAAGTGATATAATCATAATTCCACTGTTCATTCATTTTAACTTTGAATACTATTTTTAAAGTACAATTTTAGAATATTAACATTAAAACTGTCTTTTCTAGTTGATTTCTTGGTGAGCAAATCAGCTCTCTTGTCTACATTTATCTTTGCGTATTAGAAACAAATATAAAAAAACAATGAAATACCCTTCTCCAGTAGATCCATGAGATATTGCTGTATATTAACAACAATATCATTACACAATGAAGTATTTTTTAGAAACTCCGGAGAAGAAAGAGAATCAGAACACTTAAAATAGCTGGAAACATGTCTATGTTGGCTTAGTATCCACTTAATTATAAAACTAATTCACAGGAATAAATATATCCAATGGTAAAAATTTGGCAAGAGGGAAGGCACCATTATAATTAACAATTCAGTAACCCCTGACAACTCATAGCAGATGATTCATCTTTTTCTGGGACAATCCCCAAGCTCTACTGCCATATGAAATTAAGAGAACAATACCTTGTTTATAAATAATATTGTAACATTCAATTTAACACCTAAACTATTACACACAATTTGATTTAGTGCCTGCTGAAGTCCCTCACACTTATTCGAAATATGCTTTTTCCAGTTAAATCTGCTGTTCAGTAAAACACTGAAATATTTAATTTCATTCATCATTTTAAGGGGATTATCACTAAAAATCAATTTATATCCACTGTAAGAAGTATTTCTTTGGTACTATTATATATGCCCTCAGGTCGCCAAATGTGGCGATATGTGTTCTGCACTGGTTTTTAGCATGATTGCGTGTTCTACGATGG